TTGTAATATGTAACCTAGCAACGGGGCCCGCGGGGGGATTGAGACAACTATAAAGGAGCAATGTAAATGTGCCAAGCCAGTCCTGGCTTTGCTTGTAACCGCTACGTTACGCATGAGTAAACCTCTTTTGTGAACCACACGTGTCACGGGAGTTTCTCTTGTCGAACGGGGCAAATCTTACACATGCATCTTGGGTCAGTGCCTATCTTGAGAAAAGCTGATCTATGACTAAGTCACTTCTTTGATTCTATCTGTTTGTCACTTTTTAGTGTGACCTACAGAAGAATGGCTAAGTCTACGCAGATAGAAGCAGATTAATGGAGTTAGATGAGAAGGAAAAGTACACAGGTAGCCCAAGTGTAACATTTTGTCTTCTTTATTTTGTCATATAATTCCTTCCATCCATATATGGGATGTGGGAAAATGATAGGTCACACTTATGAACACTTTTTCAATGGGGATAAAATCTATCCCTTAGATCTAGTTCTGGGTGACCAAATTTCAGTTATGATAGTACTGGTTCCCACTATTCCCATGTGATGTTTTATGCAGAACATACAGAGATACATTGATTTACCCCAAACATGATAAGGTTGAAGATTTTCATTAAGTGTAAATTAATGTAAAGTACTTACTCCTTGGTTTGCTACATAAGACATATATTGCAAACTGGGATAAATCTAGACAAAAAGAAAAGAAAGAATTAAACTGGTTTTAAGATACTTGTTTTGTTGTGTGTGTGTGTATATAGGTAGGTGTGTGTGTATCTATCATCTATCTATCTATCTATCTATCTATCTATCGATCTATCTATCTATCAATAGAAGACAATATATGTAGCTTAGGGTTTCAGGGTTGAACTATGGAGTCCTTGGGGCTCTCTGAGCTTGGTTAACCAAGCTCAGAGAACTCCAAGGACTCTGTATGTTTGTGTGTGTGTGTGTGTGTGCATGTGTGTGTGTGTGTGTGTATGCATGCTAGCAGTCTGAGTGCTGCATTTTAGACTAATTGGTGCTTCCGGGCTATATCCCAGGGGACCAGGGGGATTTTGCAATGGCTTCCTTATTAATATTATCCCTTCCTGTTTTGTGTGCTTTTATAGTTATTTTTGCTTGTGATTATTTTTTAATGTATTTTTTTTAATTGTTCTATGCTGCCCAGAGTGACTTTTATGTGAGATGGGCGGCTATATAAATATGACAAATAAATAAATAAATAAATAGGAAAGGAAAATGCCTTTTTAGGCCAGAACAATGTCTCATCGTGTGTCCACATCCTGGGTTTAACAGGTATCATGTAAATATGTTTTAAGAGCTTCCTATATTATAGTGTATCATTATTAAGGTTATCCCATTTTTGCAGGAATCCATAAGAACTTTGAAACTATCAGGATTGTGCTGAAATGTCTTAATAATTTAATAAACTTATAGGTAAAGTTCTTTCTAGGGAAGAACGAAATTTGAGGAAAAATTTGTCTTGTTAAATATGTTTGTGTTTCAGACAACTGAAACACTTTAAACAAAAGCTCATTTGCAAATAAGTATGTTTACATTTGTCTCCACTTTTAAGAGAATTCAGTGATGGAAATTCAACTGCATTAACAATGGAATTTTAGTTGGAGAATGAACTTACATATCGTTGCTGTGGTTGTTGGGCTGTGTTTTGCTGGGTTCCAAATAAACCAGGGTAGATCTTTGCAAAAAGAAAAAAAAAAGTGGAATGGAGTATCCAGAAAAAGATAAGGCATTATGATATACACTGCTTACAGACATAATAAATATTCTAAAGAACTTGTCATGTGGCACACTCAAGTAGCTGTTTTTGTCAAGAACTTTATTTATCACTGTTATAATTTTCATAGTCAAAATATACTTATGGCCTGGCCATAATGTTCTTGAATGAATATTCTTGTATGGCGGGTAACTGTAGTTATTAAAAGAAAACACATGAAGAGCATAAAGAATGAACTAAGCAAAGCTTTCAATCTTAATATTTCATACTTTTATAAAATAATAAAATTTAAGTTTAAATTGTCCTGGAAGAGGCTTAAATTCTAGAAGAAATATTTCTTTGTTATCTCAGAGAGAAATTCAGAAACTGATATATAAATCAACCACATTTATTTAGGAGATTAAACTTTTAAACTAGGGAATATGTTCATACTATAGATCTGAAACAGTTGCAAGAGCACATTCCAAAGGATCTACACCAGTCAATTTACTTATTAGTAAATACTGTCTTCCAATATTTACTTTGCATTTGATTGCAGATGTATCTCATTTAATGCAATGCAGTTAACATTTCTTTTAAAAAGTTTTTTTAAGGAAAAGTCTGCTGGAAAATGCACATACTAATTAAAATAACAAAATGTATTATACTAAGAAAGACTGCTTGTAAAAAGATTTATATGTGGTAAAAAATGGCAGACAAAAGTGCATACTACCAGAGAAATATGCACCAAAATACATGCACCTTTTAGATTGATTCTTCCCCCCGCCCCTCACAAACTACGTAAAATGGAAAAATTGAGAGAAACTTGAATGGACTGATTCACTCAGCCTTAGTTAATGATGTGCCTCCATAGTCTTTATAATCTCCATGCCAAAGATTTGTGCTTCTTGGTTCTCTCACTGGAGTTGCAGACAATTCCCAGTCATATTAGGAGTATGTCAATTGCTTATAAAAACTGACCTGCTGAGTTTGTCTGTCCGATGGTGATGGCTGTTGCTGAACATCTGGTTGATTTCCTTCTGAGGGAGAAAACTGGTTTGGCTGAAATGCTGGCTGTACATCGTAATTTTGTATTTGCATTTGCCTTGTAGGAATGAAATGTGTGTAATGGTAATGAGGTTGCTCTTGTATCCCAGGTTGTTGAAGCAGAGTGGTTGTTTGAGATGGCAATGGAGGAGGGTGCACCGGCATTGAGTATTCATACTATGGAGTGATAAAAGGATGAATAACCAGAAGGGAAAGGTTGAAACCATTAATGGACCATTTTCAGGCACATTGAAAGACTGCATGAACAATGAATCTGATGAATAAACTTCTGGCTTTACAAAATTCCATACTGTAATACATTCATTTGTCTCTAAGTCCAGGATTCTCATTGCCCAGGGGCATCAAAATACCCTGCCATGCTCCATGCCCCACCTAATATAATTATTTAAAGATTCCTTTAATACAAACATTAATCAGGAAGCCACCATGCTGCAGAGAAAAATGTCAATAACTAGCATCTTATCAGTTCTGAAGGATGTTTCTAGTTGACTTCAAAGCTTTTCTTAGGCATTAAAGAAGTAGGCATTGTCTGAAGGTAAGCCACTAGCCCAGGATAAAGGTTAATATAAGCTGAAGTGCTAGAAAGCATTTGGAAGAGCTGAGTTAAAGGGGTAGATTCAATACTGCTTGGCATTCTAGTAAATGAGAGTTTTGTGATTGGCCATGCCATACAGCCATTCTGTGAGACTGGACAGAGACTGATGGTCATCATCTACATGTGAAAGATAAGGAGTCAAGTTGCTGAGAATCCAGGGAATTATAGCTGCCATAGAGGACCATAACAGCTGACACTGATGAAGAATTCTGAAAGGAAAGAGAGGACCAGGCTAGGGAGAAATTTCTAGAAAGCAAAAAGAATAGTCCTGCTTTAATAATATAGTGTTTCTAGAGCTCTAACAGCTTAAATTGCTTACCTGTTGAGTTTCATGTTGAGGTCTTTGCCTTATCAAGTAGAATGATGAATGGGATGGTAGGAAATTGTGCATCCACATTGAATGAAATGGATCAGCATAGCTATAAGGTTGGGCATACTAAAAATTGTATGAGTAAATACATTTATTCTGAAGCTATAATTCAGATGCTAGTTCTCAGTGTAGTTAGAACAAGAATTAAATTCAAGCCAATATTAGGAATCAGAATTAGTTCATAAATAATAGATGTTGTAGTAGGTTTCCCACTTGATTCCTTTATAAATATATACCAAATTCCTTTCTTTGATAATAGATCCATAAATTTAATTAGAGACAAAAGGGCAGAAGAGGAGGAAGAGGCACTACATATCTATTTACTAATCATTCTGTCTTTTGGCAACACACTGTTGCCAAATGTTGTTCAATGAGGAAACAAATGAAGTCAATGTGGAAACCCTTTCAATAAATAATATATAAAGTAAGTTTGATAGATACCCTAGAAGATCACTTTTTTTTCTATCGGTTCAATTGTGTCCAATTCTCAGAGACTGCCTGGACAAATCCCTGCAGTTTTCTTGGCAGGATTTTGGGTGTGGTTTATCCTTGCCTCTTTCCCAGGGCTGAGAGAGACTGACTGGCCCAAGGTTACCTAGCTGGCTTCGTGCCTAAGGTGGGACTAGAACTCTCGGTTTCCCAGTTTCTAGCCTGGTGCCCTCAACCACTGGCTCTCAGAAGATCACTACAGGATATTTAAAACAACAACAGCATAAGACTCCCAAGTGCCTTCAGGAATATAAATAAGTGACGGGTTTTAATATTCAGTGTGATAGAATTAGGTAATGATTAAAATTGCAATTCAGTGCACCATTGCTTGACAGTAAGAGTCACTTGAGTACTTGCTCTTGAACACAGTGCATTAAACTGGGATGCACATCTAAGAAAGCAATGGGATAATTCTGTCTTATCCACACTTGATGATGATGATGATGGTCGGTTGCGCAGTCAGCCAGATGTTTAGACTGGATTTGGCATTTTTATCCATAATTATTATTATTATTTTAAATTTATTGGCTGCCCAACTCCAGTGGAGACTTTCTTGGAAGTAAGTCATATGGAACATCATAGGATTTCTTGAGAATGCGGTCTCTTACTTGTTTACTAAGAAGCATGTCTCACTGAATCCAATTAAAATAACTGTGCATAGAAATGTAGTCTTTTCATGCTGCTCTATAAGCAAAATAAATATTTGATTTGATTGTAAGCTTGGTCAAAACTGAGTTTACTCATGGGTATAAGCTAGGGATGGGAAGCCTCTTGATTTTTGGATTTTGTGAGGTTTGGTCCTGATTCCCTAATCAGTTATCGTTTCAGTACAACTGATCGATTCCAATTCTCTCTAAAAGTCAAAGGTTCCTTACTTTGGGTGTAAGCCAATAAATAGAATAATGTAAAGTCTGGAATAGCATTATTAGCTTATTCTTGTGATTACACATCTCCATATACATACTTTTTGAAAAAAGAATATTTGGCATAGCTGTGATTACCTGAGGGAGTATACCTGGTCCACCAAGCTGTCTCACACCCTGTAAAGCAATTTTTAAAATCCTCAGTGTGAATATAATTGCCCCTGTTATATCAGCCCACCCCACTTGGTCCAGCAGAAGGGGCAGGTTGCAGACCCCACAAGTCAAGGAATTTCGACTGGTGGGATCTAGGAAGAGGGCCTTTTCTGCCGTGGCCCCCACTCTGTGAAACAACCTACCACCCGAGGTGCAGTGTACCCCCACTCTCATGGCCTTCAGGAAGAGCGTGAAATCCTGGCTATGCCAGATGGCCTGGGGGCTGGATGGGGACTTGCACC